TCCTGTGGAGCTAGGACTGCTAGCATGTACCACCATGCCTGGACAATTTTTTGATTTGAGACAGAGTCTCACTTTGTTGCTCAGGCTGGTCTTGACTGCCTCGGTGTCCCAGAGTACTGGGATCACAGGTGTGAGCCCCCACACCCAGCTCAGGCACATTCTAGCACTTGGCATTCTCCTTCAGTGGGAATCTTTACACTCATCATGTCTTAAATATGAAAGAAAAATACAAAATGGACTTTTGGTACCTCCCTTACCTAACTTGTTCATGCTTCATGAAGAATTCTTGTGGTTAAAAATGATGACCAGAGGCCAGGCACAGTGGCTCATGCCTGTAATCCCAGCACTTTGGGAGGCCAAGGCAGGCAGATCACCTGAGGTCAGGAGTTCAAGACCAACCTGGTCAACGTGGCAAAATCCCATCTCTAAAAAAAAAGTACAAAAATTAGCTGGGCCTGGTGGTACATGCCTGTAGTCCCAGCTACTGGGGAGGCTGAGGCAGGAGAATCACTTGAACCTGGGAGGCAGAGGTTGCAGTGAGGCAAGACTGTGCCACTGCACTCCAAACTGGGCAACAGAGCAAGGCTTCGTCTCAAAAAAGCAAACAAAAAATGACTGGTAATGAGGAGGACAAACTACAAATAGACCTGTAAATACGAACGCAGAATTTTTATGAAGCAATTTTTAAAGGAAAAAAATCTTCTCAAGTGTAGAAACGTCAAAGGCCTGTCTCAAAGAGCAACTGATCTGAAAGAAACTCATTAAGAATGGGATAGACAGGCCAGTGTTGTGGCTTAGGCCTGTAATCCTAGCACTTTTGTAGGCCAAAGCAGGTGGACTGCTTGAGCCCAGGAGTTTAAAAGCCTAAGAAACATGGCGAAAACCTCTCTACAAAAAAAAAAAAAAATTGAAAAATTAGCCGGGCATGGTGGTGTACACCTGTAGTCTCAGCTCATCAGGAGGCTAAGGTCACGGTGAGCTGTGATGGCACCACTGCCCCCTACCCTGGGCTATGGAAGACCATCTCCCTTGGGCCCCCAAAACAAAATGATACAAATTTGTGGTACACTTACAATTGGCTGGTTTGAATCAAAGAAACCAGAAATGTGCTAGGCATAGCAAAATATTTCAAATTAGTGTGGCAGGAACAAGAGCTAGCTAGCTGTCTGCTCCAACTGTGTGTGGTATGATCAAGGTAGAATACTGTCCAGGATCTGGTAGGGGTAGTCCAATATTCCTGCAACTAAAATCTGATTTCCAAAGCATGACCCTAAGTGAGGACTTTGTGATGAAAACAGACATGGTCCACAAATGAATGCTTTTTCCCACAGCTAATAAAAATGTGATCCCTTAGGGAAGGTTATTTCCAGTCTTAATGGCTGTATTCTTATTATCAAATTTAAGCATATAACAAATGGAAAAACTGTTCATGACAGACAGCAAGCTATAGACTGATCCTTCAATAAAGCTGGTAACAGATGACTTGTAAGACTAGGATACTTTTAAAAACTACACTTAATACTAATGCTGTTATTTCATATGTTGCACGTTTATATTTAAAAAAAATAACATGCCACATTTAAATGCTGCTTTAGTCTCATATGATTTTATACATATGATTTCCCTAAGTAATTTAGGATTTCCCTCAAGTAATAGTAATTTGAAACACTATTACTTGAGGATTCAGCAATCCCAGACCTTTCCCTTCTTAGGAGTTCTTCCAAAGTTTCTGTCCGAAATTCCTTTTCTATTTAAGAAAATTCCAAGGCCCGGCGCGGTGGCTCATGCCCGTAATCCCAGCATTCTGGGAGGCCGAGGTGGGCGGATCACGAGGTCAAGAGATCAAGAAAATTCCAAAGAATTTCAGGAGTGGTAGCCTAACTCCAAAGACATGGGCAGCTGAGGCAACTGGAACAGGGATTTGAAGACCAGCAAGTTGCCCAATCTCACTAGAAAAGCCATAAAGCCAGCAAGAGATGCCACATCAACTGACTTCTTGTCCACCCCTTTTTCTCATCGTTTTCAATACTCATTGCTACTATTTAGTTTTCTTTACATTTTATATAGTTTTAAAGCTATGCTGTTAGAAACCCTGGAAACATATGTAAAGGACTTCAGATTAGAGAACTTGACATGCATAAAGACCATGGCAATTACATTTTAATTGCTTACTTGGAACAGCAGTTATCTTCACACTGAAAACTAAGGGAGAGCAGAGAAATCAACTAAAACATGTTTTTGGCTTCAAGAGGGTTATTATCCTGAATCCCTTTTATTGTGGTAATATACACATAAAGTTTTCCATTTGTAGGTGTACATTCTGTGGCATTAAGTACATTCACGTTGTTGTGCAACAGCCATCATCCATATCATCTTCCCCAAATACAACTCCATTAAACACTTAACTCCCCATTTCCCCCTCTCCCTCAGCTCCTGGCAACTATCAGCTTCCTGGCTATATGAATTTAATGACTCTAGGAACCTCATGAGTGGAATCATACAGTGTATGTCCTTTCGCGTCTAGTTTATTTCTCTTATCTTCAAGGTTCATCCATGTTGTAGCATATGTTAGAATTTCCTTCCTTTTAAGGCTGCATAATGTTCCAATGTAGGTATACACTACATTTCATTTATCTACTTATCCATCAATGGACACTTGAGGTGCTCCTACCTTTTGGCTGTTGTGAATCATGCTGCTATAAACATGAGTGTACAAGTTATCTGTCAGAGTGCCTTCTTTCACATCTTTTGGTTACATACCCAGGAGTGGAATTGTTGGATTATGTAGTATTTCTAGGTTTAATTGTATTTTTCCCATTCTCACATACTTCACCTGAATTGAAGAATCCAATGAATACACAAACCAAACACGTACTATGTTTTTAGCAAGGCAATGGAAAAACCCTATCGGATCTGTCTTGTATCACTTCTCAGATAACCTGTTGGAACACCTTACATCTAAGAAATGCCTTGAAGATGCCAAAGACCTCCAGGTCCAACCAAGCTTCTGAAGCTCCTGCTGCAGACTAAGCCTCAGCCTTCTTGTTTAGAGGAAAGGGGACCCAGCACGGCTGTCAGTAGTGTGGGGGTAACTGCAAACAACACCCAACACTCAGTTCTTCAACACCCCACAGGCCTGGTTGTAGATTTTGAGGTCAAGGTTGGGTGAGTATAAAACCCAGGAAATTTTTATAAAACTAGTAATGGGGAAAACGGGAAGATCAGGGAAGGTGGTGAAACTTCACCAAGGCCAACAATTGCACAACACATTACTTCTTGAAGCACTTTTTTCCACCTGCTAAAACACTAAACTTAGGAGTGTTTCAAATTACTGGAGGATTCACCAATCCCATAACTTTCCCTTCCTAAAAGTTTGTTCCAGAGTTTCTGTCAGAAATTCCTTTTAAGAAAACTCCAAGGAATTTCAGGAGTGGTAGCATAACTGGAAGGAGCCCTCCCTCTCTGTAATTAATCAAAAACATAGTGTAGCTTACATAGCTTAGAGAAACTGTGGATCTATGAGGACACATGACGGTACTAGGCTCCAATGTGGTCAATGTGTCTGAAAATTAACAGTTCTGGGACAACCAAGTGAGGCTCAAGAGGTCACCACTAAGAATGGTTCCTCTTTGGGTAGAGAAGAGGGAAGAGACATTAAAGGAACTACAATAGCCAGCAAAGGAACAGAGTGACCACCAATGTCTGAGGACTGGTACAATGAAGGACAAGGCAGAGCCTCTCTATACGGGGACTACTCCCTTCCAGTTCCCTTTCTTCCCCATTGCATCCCAGTGCAGGACCTGGTAATATACCTTGCCCGTATCTAAGACATGGAGTTGCCAGTGCTGACTCCTAGGTAAGGTTCACTGTATGTTAAAAAGTCACACACGAGGCCAGCCACAGTGCCTCATGCCTGTACTCTCAGCACTTTGGGAAGCTGAAGTAGGAGAATCACTTGAGGACAGGAGCTGGAGACCAGTCTGGCCAACATGGTAAAACCCCATCTCTTCTAAAAACACAAAATTAGCTGGGCCTGGCGGTACCCACCTGTAATCCCAGATACTTGGCAGGCTAAAGCACAAGGATGGCTTGGCCCCAGGAGGCAGAGGTTGCAGTTAGCCAAGACTGAGAGCCACTGCACTCTAGCCTAATGACAGAGTGAGACTCTTTTTTTTAAAAAAAAAAGGTCACATATTATTTTCTCCCCTCCTCTCTGTGGTAGGTAGCTTCAAATTAGGGCCTGACCTCAGCCATCTCTGTTCTCTTTACTCAAGCACATGGGCCACTGCTTTGGGTTCCTACACCAATCAGATATCCACAAGCTCCCAGATACAGACACGAGCCTCGAAGGGGTAACATACCCGATTAGGCTTTGAGCCTAAAACACGTTACATGAAATTACCCGAGTCTTGCACGGTACTGTGATCTAACACATCACCAAGTCATGTACTTTGTTTCTAGTTTGCTATTGATCCATATGTACGGTGTCCTTAGGAGTCTGGAGGGAAGAGGGATGATTGGCTGAGGGCATGTGGGAAATCCTGGGTTCTCCAATAACCACATTTTACCCCAGCAATATTCTCTATAGTAAGATGGAGGTTGAAAATGTGTGGTGCTCTGTTAAATTTCCTAGTCATGGCTGGGTGTGGTGGCTCATGCCTGTAATCCCAGTACTTTGGGAGGCTAACGTGAGAGAATCAATTAAGCTCAGGAGGTCAAGATCAGCCTTGGCAACATAGTGAGCTCCTGTCTCTACTAAATATTTACAGGAGAGTGGCCTGAGCCTGTAGTCTCAGCTACTCAGGAGACTGAGGCGGGAGGATTGCTTGAGCTGGGAGATCAAGGCTGCAGTGACCTATGATTACGCCACTGCACTCCAGTGTGGGCAAGAGAGACCCTGTCTCAAAAAAAAAAAAATTTCCTAGTCTTTCATGCACATGTGTCGCTGCCTTGGCGTTTACAGCTTCACATTCCTCATTGCAGACTAATCCTTATTTGACAGAAATAAAAAAATTTACATTTTATTTTTTTGTAAAGGTGACAGCAGCAGCAATAACATGGGCATTCCGTAAATATTCTTTTGAATTAGGCCAGATCCTAAATATCCTGAAATAAACATGACATGTCACTATCTACTCCTTCAAGACAAAGATATGCTTTTTTCTTTCCTCACTTCAATAAGCTAGTCTACAAAGATGGACTTTTATTTATGCAATACTTTCAATACCATTCAACATATTGGACTCTTTTTTTCCTCTCTGTAAGTAGAATCTGATTTTGAAATCTAGAAGTGTGCCGACAAGAGCCAAGCTGTTCTAATTAGGTTACCTTTCACACTTACAAAAATGATACAAAGTTCTCTGAATATCATTCCAGAAATATTAACTAATACTTACCTATTTTCAGTCTCCTAAAGCTTTCAAACAGCTTAATATATGTTCACTCAGCACAACACTGCTGTTCCAACAACTATCCCATTTTACAAAACAAGGCAAAGAGAAGCAGAATAACTCTCCCTACGCCCCAGGAAAAAATACGACAGAGGCGCAGGGTAAGAGGGTTTCTGGGTCCCGGCCACCTGTTTCACATTGCTCTTTCGCCTTCTTTCTTCCTGGGCACGATGAGGCTCCTCTGATGGAAGGCAAGATGGCTGCCATCCTTCAGTTATCACAGTACTGTACCTTTAGAATGGACAGCATCAGCACTGTGATAACTGAGCCAGGGCAGCCTGTCAGTCACTGTGTCGGTAAACGGCATCCTTTCTGGTGGCTGCATTACTCTCTCTGAAGGCTCCCCATGAAGTGAAGGACTAAAAGATCCCCTTCTGGTTGGAGACGTGAGGAGGCAGAAGAAAAAGAAGGATCAGAGCCCAGCAAGTGGTGAGGCTGAAATATTAAAAGGCCCAGTTGAATTATATTAGAATGAAAGATGAACACATGACTTATACATATTAATGCGGATGAACAACTGCATGATTAGGTTTTTGCTCTGATAATACATCAAATATGCAGCAAGCTTCCAGCATCTTTCAGTCTAACTCTTTCATGCATGGATTCACTGACTATGCCTCCCTGACCTCAATCACTGATTATATATAGAGAGCGACTACTATGTTAGAAGGCCTCTTCTAGATGTTCAGGAAATAAAGATAAATAAGACATGATTCCTGTCTTCAAAGTGGTCATAAGCAAACATGACAATACTACTTCACATCTGCCAAACATTCAAAAATTTTCTACATGTTTTCTCATTTGGTTTTCACAAGAGCCCTACGGGGCTGGCAATGAATTATTCATTAATTCATCAAAAAAGGATTCTGGAAATAGGTTAGATATTATTACACCATTTCACAGATAGAAAAAAAAAAAACCTCAGAGAGGTTAGATGATTGACAAGAGATCATGTACAGTATTGCTAAGTTATGGTGAACCCATGCTCAGATCCATGTCAAATGAGTGAACCTAGTGCTTTTTTTTTTCCTACCCTACTCTAGCTGTCCAACTCCATCAACTGGATATTCAGTTTACACAAACAGGATTTCTAAACATTTACTTTTTATTTTTACTTTTCTCAGTAACTGAGATCATGAAGCAGAAACTAGTGGGGTTTTATAATTAAGAAGAAAAATGCACATTAGCAAAAAATGACATTCATTCCTCTTGTTCTGAGTGCCAAGAATGTACTCAAATTGGTAACATTGATATTTTATGTCAATTCTACACCTATAGTGATACTGATAACCTTCAGAATACATTTTTTAAAGTAATAACATATACACACATCACTTGCTTTTAAATTATCTATACCTTTGAGATGTACTCTGAAGTCATTTTAGGGATGATTCTTATTTTAATAAAAAGTACAAAAGATTCTGAAATTGGAATTCAGGCATCAGAATATCAACTTATTAAAACCATGATTCACTCGGGTTTTTCCATGTCAGTCATAAGGTTTCAAGTTATTTCGGTATGAGTGGAATTTGACAGATATTTGAAAAATAATTATGTTTTCATTAGGCATTTGCTCAATTTTGAAGACTCATTATATGCATATTAGATATTAGCACTGTACTTCAAATAAGTCAGATAGATGAATCAATTCTTTAAATCAGCGGAAGTCAGAAAATAAGAGCGTACAGTGAATATAACTCAACTATTAACTTTATGTACTATGAAAATGATCTTACCTTCAGAAAAGTAATATCCAATGAAACAATCCACCTACACAAAAATTTAAAACAACATTGTCTAAAGTGCAAAAATATCTAAAAATTAAGGAGGTCATCATCTAGGCCTCAGCCAACTGTAATACAGAGTTGAAACACGAGAGGGCAACGAAGATTTAAAAAAAAAAAAAATCACAGTTGGATACCATAACCTAAGGTTCCTGGAAATAGCTGCACATTTTCACCCAAATTATAAACATCTGTTACGTGAACAAAGATACTCTGATTATTTTGGAGTAAAATTTTAGATAGCTGTCCCACCTAAAAGGATAAGATTACCACCTAATATTTCTTGACTACAAATTCTGTCAGCTTTGGAAAAATGAATACTTACCCTGAAATACTCAAGGTTGGGTAAGTATGGAGACAAATAAATAACCCTGACATATTTGGTAGTTATTAGACTGTTCTTCACCAAAATAAATATTAGTGTGATTGAATGTCTAAATATGAAGTATTAAGATGAAGTAAATGTAATGTACTGCAAAGTTTAAATTCACTCTATTAGCTATCACCAAAATCCATACAACAACTAAACATTTTTGGTACAATAAGTAAAAGATACTTCCTTTTTCTCCTTATTTTTCTCTCATTGCATTTTTTTCTACCTAAATTAGAAAAAAGTAAAGCATCCATAATAACAAGCAGCAAATTGTCATTATTCTGTGAACAGTTAGTTAAAAGTAATATTCTCTCAGATTCTAAAGCAGTTTCAAGGAAGAAAAATTCAGAACACTATTTTTAAAATAATAAATGCTTCAAAAATGTGACTTGCTCTATCTTGAAAATTATGTTTATAAATGTGCATTTTTGAACATTTAAATTCATCAGAAATATTTCTTTTTCAACATGTTTCTTCTAAGAACTGAGCTGTTGAAATTTATAAACAAGTGACTACAAGAACTCATGCTACAGTAAGACAAAGTAACTGCATACTAAGAGAGAAAGAGAGAAAACAGTGACGTAAAGTGCTTTCCTCCAGGACCCAAACTGATCTTAAACTAGTTGTTTGATGTTAAAAATGATACAACTAGGAACAATTCTTCATCATGCATATACCAAATATTATCTACAAAATCAGGTACTTATAGAAAACTGGCATACCAAGGAACTTTTAAAATAATGTGGAGTACAAGGCCAGGCATGTTGGCTCATGCCTGTAATCTCAGCGCTTTAGGAGGCCGAGGCAGGAGGATTCCTTGAGCCCAAGAGTTCAAGACGAGCCTGGGCAACATAGTGGAACCCCATCTCTACAAAAAATAGTATTAGCAGGGTATGATGGCACAGGCCTGTAGTCCCAGCTGCTTTGGAGGCAGAGGTGGGAGGATTGCTTGAATATAAGAGGCCGAGGCTGCCATGACTGTACCACTGCACTCCAGCCTGGGTGACAAAATAAGACCCTTTCTCAATCAATCAACCAACAAATATAAGCACAAAAAACATGCTACATCTCTCTTATTTATAACCTAAAATGAAAATATTATTTTAAACCTTTAAATATCTGATTATATATTAAATAAATGAAGGTACCATAAGTTGCTGGCCATGTGAAATATTTGAAAATACTTTTAAACTATAGTGTATTTAAATCCACTGACCTTTTAACTAGTGTGATTTTACAATTTGAAAATCATCATCTAATTCTGTGATACTATATAAAATGTGCAAATTTGACCTCACTGAGATGTTATAAACACGTAAGCAAAAGTTGTTCGAATGTCAACTACTGCTTTGTCACAAGTGCACAGAATGTATACTTGCATTTTATTGCAAACTTTGCTATTTTGAATTTTTAAAAACTAATTTGTGTCAAAGATTAATGGGGGTGGCAGGTTACAGATTTTTTCTCTTTTGCGGAAAAAGACATTGGCAAAAAGGCAAGAAGAAGTCAAGGAACACTGCCCTGTGCAAAGTTAGCCCCTATTCTCGAAGAGAAGCATTAACTGGGGTGTCATCATTTTAACTGACTTTGAGCACTGGCGCCTAAATAATCTCATGCTGTATAACCTTAGCAGGTCCATGTGGAGGAAAAAAAAACCTATGGACAAGTAACACAAGAAGAATGAGCTTTCTCCCTCATGTTGACAAAGATTTTAGTCCAAAAAGGCTCCAGGAGACTAAAAATTTATAAATACATGGACTGGCCCATATATATTGTATTATACAGGACTCTCCCCTTCAAACATGTCCTCAGCACCATGTTTTTAGTCCAACTGTATACTCCAAAGTTAATTTACTTTCTGATTTTGCTCTAGATCACATTTCACCACTCTCACTCCCCAGATTTTAGATGTTATAGATTGCTCACAAGTCAGTTTTATATGCCAGCTAAGTTCAAAATGATCCACCCCTAGCTAAACATCTCTAAAAACCCTGATGGTCTCCAATTAATCCACGATTTCCTCATTACTGCAGCTCTGCCATTTAAAAATGCTGGGTCTCAGATTTTCAAATTCCCTTAATGGACAGCTCAAGGGGCCAATACCAAAGGCTTGCAATGCCCTCCAATTCTACAGCCTTGGGCTGTTCCAGGAACAAATTACATTCCACTTTCCTGCAGAGTCCACCCCTCTCGAAGCTTCTATTCCTACATCTGGAAAATGAACACATTTCTACTAGTAACACAGGCCACAGTGGTAGTGCATTCAGTAAGTACCGTATTGTATACTGTAATTTAATTTGGTGCTGTTTATACCTTATTTCTCAAGTCAACAGGTCTCTTTCTAAAGTCAGAAACTATTTTACTCATGTCCCTTCACAACACTTAGTGGTCATTTCCACAAAATGCTAGCTCAACAAATACTTGATTAATTGACAAACCTCTCCATTTCTCAGGGAGTCTCTAAATAGGTTATCAACACGAGTATGTTTAATTCCAGTCTCTGTTTATATGGTCTTAGGTAAGGTGTTGGGCAGTTTGGCATCTATAAAATAAAGGGATAGTACTGAATAGTCCCTAAGTTCTTCCAGTGAGATTTATGAATCTCATTAGACAAAACAAACCCCCCAAGACAGCACTACCTCTATTCATGTCAGCATTGTACTGTTTTTGGAGGAAAGGAGTCATCAACCTTGTGGGCCCAATTACCACCAGTGGAGCCCTGATGGAGGGTGGCGGGGGAGGCAGAAAGTAGATGAAGAAAAAAAAAAATAAATGGAAGTGAGTGACAGATGAGTAGAATCACTAAAATGCCACCAGGTGTCACAACTGTTATTTTGCCACACATTTTCTGGTATCTTTTGCTATGCCCAGGAGCCTTTTACAAAAGCAGCAATAGCCAGATATGTGGGTATCCAAATTTTCCCAGGACACCCCTGCTAGCCATTCTAGAACTCTGGACTTTTACACTTATCTCCCTATTGTAACAGTAATAATGTAATACCTGGGGTCCCCAATCAACACACGGAACACTGCAGTGGAAAATAGATAGCTCACAAACATGAAATAACAATATTTCGTACAGTTACCACTTTTGAAATTAAACCATAGGGCTAGGCACAGTGGCTCACGCCTATAATCCCAGCACTCTGGGAGGCCGAGGCGGGCAGAATACCTGAGCTTTGGAGTTCAAGACCAGCCTGGCCAACATGGTGAAACCCCACCTCTACTAATAATACAAAAAATCAGCAGGGCATGGTGGCGCATGCCTGTAGTCCCAGCTACTCTGAAGGCTGAGACAGGAGAATCACTTGAACCTGGGAGGTGGAGGTTGCAGTGAGCCAAGATCACATCACTGCTCTCCAGCCTGGACCACACAGTGAGAGAGAGAGACTTCATCTCAGGGTGGGGGGGGAAAAAAAAAAGGAAAGGAAATTAATCCACAGATGAAAAGGAGTGATGCAGGCCTGAGCTGTCCAATGTGGTATAATGCAAGCTACACACGTAATTTTCAATTCTCTAGTAGCCACATTAATAAACAGGCAGAATTAATAGTATATTCATTTAACCCAATATATCTAAATTATCATCATCTGAACATGCAATCAACATAAAATTGATGCGCTATTCTGTCTTTGAAATCTGAAGAGTACCTTGCACTTACACACCCCAATTCTAAATTTTCATTGGAAATACTTAATTTGTATTTAGATTTCAAAAAACTTAGTTTTAAAAGTAGATGCATACGCTCAAGTGTGTTTCCAAACATAAATAAGCTTTCCAATAACTAAACCAAGTTACCAATTTTTAAAATTAAATAAAATCTAAAATTGAGCTCTTTCTCACCCTTGCCATATTTCAGGTGGTTGGTTAATAGCCACGGGGCCAGTAGATACCATATTAGGGCAGGTGTCTTGTCTCTGTCACCTGGATTCTTTTAAACCTGAACCAGAGTAAAAGAAGTTACCCCATCAACCAGCAAGTCATCTTACAGCACCCACCAAGTGCTCAAATTATACCAAGTATTTTCTGCTCCACTTCCAATCCTTAAGTTGTCAACACTTCAGTACCGATCATTTATTAGGCAGCTCTTCCAAAAGACTGAGAAACTATTTTAGCTCAGAGAGGAAGGCAAATCTCAATTCAGGGACAGAATGGAGGCCCTGAGATTCAAAGACAACGGGTTAATTTCCAAGGTAAAGGTGGAAAATCCTGACATCTTTACTTCTTTGTCCAGGGTATCAGTCATCTACAAAAATTACAATTATTGTTTATGAGCCTCTCAACTTACATACAGCAGCTGTCACTGCATCCTCAGCTTCTCTGTCTTCCTTAAGTGCTCCCTCCTAGCTTCCTGAAACAACCTTCTCTGTCTAGAGCAGACTCTGCAGAGGAGCCCCTCTTTAATTCATATTCTGATAAGTGCTTGTTATTGTTGACATACCAAAACTTATGAATAATTCAATAAATGAATCTCGAACCAACCTATTTAATATTCATAAGTCTAGGTACCCAACTCTATCTAGAGAAAAGCTTTTCTGAAATACATGGGAAGTATCCCACAACCCTCCCCCAAAGGAACCAATTATGCACACCATACAGCCTTCTCTCCCTGCTCACTACCCATGTCAAAGTTCACTGTGTTCCTCCTGCAGCTGATTTAAAAGTTGATCTTTTCAAGGAGCTGGATTCCTAAGGTAGTTCTATTTTGAGCCTTCTTCCTGTTCTGAAGCTAAAGTTGGAAGGGCTTAGGTGGTGATGTCATGGAAGGGAGACTTTTGGTTTTTACAGGAGGGTCTTCTCTGGCAACTCTGGGGATGCTCAAATGGGGAAAACTTAGAGTATTACTTTTGATCTTTTTCCCCCTTCTTCCCTTTAGAGTATCAGCTATTCCTCAGCCAGCAAGAAAACAAGTTCAAATAAGCCTGCAAACAGATTTACATATTTTACATGCTAAACATCTAATAAATGAAAAGACTGAGAAAAAGAAAAATATCTCACTGCAAGGAAGAGAGGGTGACAACCTCCTTCTTCACCCCTCTCCCTAAATATCTATCATAGGACAAGGGGCAAAGAGAATGGGAGAGACAACTGGTAATAATAATAATAAAGGGTACATAGCTAGGAGCCTTGAAGAGGGAAACGCTTGGAATATTCAGGACAGAAGGAGACCCTTGGGTCCCTGTTCTTCCACTGTGTTCTCCTCCCTTTTGGAATGGTTAGACTTGGGGCTGGGTGTGTCTTCTGCTTGGGAGGCGTTTTTTGGCTCTGGAAAAGCAAAAGGGGCCAGGGTGGGGCCTGGAGAAAGAACGCCAGAGACAGGCTGTTTAGGCCTGGTTCTGGGTTAAGCTTAGGGGGAGAATAAAGGGGGCTATGGGAGGAGAGCAGATTCCATTAGAAGACCCAGAGGGGAATAAAAAACAGCGCACCAGGCGAAGGGGGTTCTCTCTCTCTCTCCCCCCCTCCCCCTCTCTATCTCTCAACCTAAGCCCAGGAGCTATTTGCTGATTGGTGGGGGCCATATCCAAAGGGAAGAGAAAATCCCAAAACATTTTCAGACCACAACTTGCCGGGGGAAAGGGTGGTGGGAGACAGGCATGTCGAATGAAATCAGCAGGTGAAAGCAATTTTTGGCCAATGCTGAGATTGGGGAGGGGAATAACCAAGAATCCTGGAGAGCAGGGGATTCCCTGGTTTCTCAGCTCACCTCTCCTCCAAAGCGGGGATAAGCACAGGTGTGGTCTTTCTCCAGGAAGGTGGCAGCTGGTGTGCGGGTAGCAGAGTGAGGGAAAGAATTCCTCGTACGGGAAGGCAGGGAGAAGCCCTGGGGTCAGCTGCGGCCAGAAGCCGGCGTCTCCGCCAAGTCCCCTCCCCCTGCCTGAAAACCGACCTGGACCGGCACATATTACAGCAACGCACCCCTCTCCCCAATAATGTTTCTAATAAAAGAAACAGACTCTCATGCCCATATAAAAAACCGCGAGCTCCAGCTGACGGAAATAAACAGGTGAGACCGGAGAGGAGCGGGAAAAGACTGGGAATGGGAGAACGAAGGGGGAGAAGGCGTTCCCGAACGTGCAGAGAAATCGAGGCTTCTCCGCCCTCCCTCCACCCTCCTCCTCTCCGGCCAGGGAGAATCTGCGTGGCGGGGTGCAAGCTAAAAACGCCACTGACGGACCCCTCTTCCCGCCCCGTGCCCGTTCTCCCTCCTACCCCAGACTCCAGCGTCCCAGCCTCGTGGTAGCGTCCGTTCTCCGGCGCCGCGCGGGGCTCGCCCTCTCTCCGGACCGCCGCCGCCGCCGCGGGGACTCCGGTCTTCCTCTCTCCTCCCTCCCTCCTCCTCCACTGCCGCCGCCGCCGCCGCCGCCGCCGCCTCCTCTTAGACTCCTCCCGCTGGATCTTTCATGTAAACAACATCCAGGCTCTATTTACAGTCGCCGCCGGACGGCGAGGGACCCACGCCAGCACCCTGGACGCGGGCGGGGGTGGGGGAAAAGCGAGTGCGCAACATTTACACACACACACACCCCGCCCCTCCGCGCCGCTCCCCTCCCGGAGGCCGAGCCGGGCGCCCGGGGCTCCCTGCGCCGCCACTGACACCCCAGCGAGGGCCGCGGGAAACCGCGGAAATGCCCATGGGCGAGGTCGCCCCGCTACCCCTAGGGAAAAACACTTGCGCGCGCTAACAACAACAAACCCAGCCCGGCAACACCCTTGAAGTCCGTCCTGTATGTGGAGGCCCGGCCCGCCCCGCGCCGCCGCCCCCGCGCCCCGCCGCCTACCCCGAGGTGGCGAACTACGTGCGGTCCCCCAAGGCGGCTGAAGGCAGGCGCTCGGCGCGGGGCAGGGGCGCGCCCTCGGCCCCCGGTGCCGCCCGGCCCTCCCCCAGACCCCTTTGCGGACGCTGAGCGGGCCGAGCCCCGCGGCTACGTGTGCGTGTGCGCCGCGGCCAGCCCCTCCGGAGCGGCTCCGTGCGCCCCACGGCTTTCCGCGCCCCCAGGCCGGCTCCGACGCGCCCGGATACTGGGCCGGGAGCGCAGCGGCAGCGCTCCACGGCGGCGCACGGGCGCGCACTCGGACGTCCACACTCCGCATCCCGAGCCCCGCGCGGCCGCACGCCGCTTGCCTCACGCCTCCCGCGGGCCGCGCGCCCCGCCGCCCCCGCGCCCGGCCGCCGCCCCCACACCCACCTGCGCCCCCTGGGGTCCCGGGCCCCCCTTCCTTTGTTCTTCCCGCTATTTGCATGAGGATTATCTAATGACGCAGCAAGGCTCGCCACAACGTGACCGTCGCCATTTTTCTGTTTTTATTCTATCTCTGCCATGTGATAGATGAGGGGGGGTTGGAAAAGCGAGAGA